ACAACATGCTACCATGAAATAAAAAGATACCTTTTGCTGATGTAAATGAAACTCTAAGCAAATTTTATTATTTAGACACATATACTTCCTCTTTTGAAGAGCACCTACCCTTTTACCAAGCGTGTCTCAAGAATTGCTTCCCTTTTTTGAAATAAAACATTATGTAAAATCAGAAAGTCACATGCTCGTTTAATGTAACTGATGTTGTCATGAAATCCAGGTCCTTTATTTATACTTGGGATAATGCAGAGGTAATGAAAGCAGAATTGGACCTAAGAGGGTTTTTGTTTCAGTTATACAACAATGTGGGTAAGAGACTTGGATTTGACAGCAACAGAAGAAAGGGAATATTGTGCTCATGCCTTCAATCAGCTTTATTGGATTCTTAAAGGGAAAATTATGTGAAAGACAGAGGAATAAAACAACAAACTAAGCAAGATCCCAATTTCAGTATAATTAGAAGAAAATAACTGATTTAGGTTGATAGTCTTGCCAGGGTGAATGACTCAAGGCTTCCAAAGAAGAAATGGAAACCAGAAGGATAGCGAAAGCCTGGAAGAACAAATTGAGAAGATATGATTGACTGTAATGTTTCAAAATCAACTGCTGCAAAGATGAGTTTGGGCTGTTGCCCAGAATACAATTGAATGGTGATGTTCGTTTAGACCCTTAATGCTGAAACAAAATAAGATGTAGCTGTGTTTCTGTTAGAGATTTACTTGTTCTTTCCAGTGTCTCTAGCTAGGGATATGATGTCATGTCCCTTCTCTTCTATCACACGCTGCAGTGATTGCTGCCACTGTTCTGTGATTTTTTCTGAACATAGATTTTCTGAAGGAAGGACTGAATCCAGGTGATAATATCTTTCAAATGTGAAATGTCATCACCACTCACCAGATGACTTTAAAAAACTTTATGCACTGTGTGCAAGTAGGCTAACTCAGTGTTATTGACCAAGGATAAGAGAAGTGTAAGATTGTTGTGCGTGTATGTGCTTTGTGACTGACAAGGCCATTCCTGTTTTTTGTTACTATCGTGCTAGGTTTTTTTAAATTAAGCAAGTTGCTCATTTTGCAAAGATTTCAAATAATTGGATCTTTGATGGGCACAACTTGTAAAGCATTACTTGGAAAAATTGGGGCAGCTGCTTGTCCTCCACCTCAGGCACAGAAGGTTCCAAAAGAGACTAAGCTTTATGCAAAAAAATAGTCAGTTGACAATAGGCAGTGTTGAGATGGGATTGTCATCTACTTCCTCCTTCCTTTTATTCCTTTCATCTCACTGGCTGTGCTTACTAACTGTTTTTCTGTTTCTATTTCAAATGAGGAAGAAAAAAAATCTAAACCACAGTTCATAATTAAATACTGAGCTAGTTCTTACCATGTTTACTGAATTACATATTGCATATATGGATGTATATCCTCAAAGTTTTCATGTGTTTTTAGATTTCTAAACTTAATGTGTTCCATAAGAATAGACCTTAACTCCTTCTTGACTGTTTTTCATGATGAGATTTGCCTCCACAGAAGAAAGGAGTAAAGTGGTGAAACCCAGTTACAGATCCTTTAAAATTGTAAGGATTCACAGAGACATGAATATAGTTAGTTGCTGAGCTCTGCAGATTCTCCTGGTTCACAGTAAAGATTCCTCCAGCAGAAAATATTCAGTGTTGACCTTACAGCTGCAACAAACAGATCAGCTTGACATGACATGCACAGTAATACCTTTGTATAGGTATCTTTGCCGCAGGGTGGCTAACCTGATAAAGAGAGCTTTAAACCAAGAACCACAGGGGGTGGAGAGAGTTACCACAGCTCTGAGGGAGCAATGGACAGGCTGACAAGCAAAGCACCTGCGGTGATGTGAACAAAAACACAAAAATTAACAAAACAGGGCTTAAGTGGCATCATCTCAAGCATTGGCATGTAAGCAAGGAAGTCTCTCTGAAGTGCCTGCACACTGAGGCACAGAGCATGGGGCTAAACCGTGTGTGGTAGTGTGCAGAGAGCTGCAGCAGTAGGATCTTGTTGAGACTCCAGAGATGCAGTGGATGGCTCACATCACTGGAGTGCAGTGCAGTGGAGGGATAGACACTCTTTAGGAAGGACAGGCTGAGAAGACAAGGATGGGGAGTTGCCCTTTATGGGAGAGAACAGCTGGAGTGCATGGACCTCTGTCTGAGGGTGAATAATGAGAGCTTATGGGTAAGGATTAAAGAGCAGACCAGTAATGGCGACTTTATAGGGGATGTCTACTATGGGCCACCTGACCAGGAAGAATGAGCAGGTTGTTGCACTGGGACATGGAAGGGGAGGGGTCCATTTGAACATCAGGAAACACTTTTCTACTGTGAGGGTGATCGAGCACTGCCCGAGATCTCCTGGATCTTTGGAGAATCTCCTTCCTTGGAGATATTCAAGAGCTGTCTAGAGGTGGTCCTGGGCAACCAGCTCTAGGTGGCCCTGCTTGATCAGGGGCTTGGACCAGATGATCTCCAGAGTTCCTTTCAAACCTCAACCCTTCTGTGATTCAGGAGCAATGGATAATTGCTTTTCATATTTTTAGTTCCTATTTCTCTAGCCGCCTGGCCTGCTGATTATCTGAATCTCTGGTATTTCAACACCAAGATGTGATAGAATGGTGGATTACTCTTTAGAAGTGATTACCTGCCTCACAGGATTGCTGAGATGGCAGATATGTTGCTCAAATTCCTGATATACCCTCCCCTCCCACATTCTTTCTGCGAAGCTTCCCCAGTAGATCCTCAGAGCCCATGGCAATGTTACAAGGTTTATATATTCAATAGCTGCATACATGAGAGTATACATGCTGGAAAAGCAACCTGTACTGCTCTTTAAAGCTAAGCAATGCTGCTGGGTGTTGTAGAGCTGAATTGTTGCTTTACAGTGCACAGCTTTCTACTTATGCATCTCTTACTAATGAGGAAATCTGGGCCAAGTTTGGGTCTCACTTTTTTGCAGTCAGAGCTAAACTTATGAGTAGAGCAGTGGAGCACTTCTTATTTTCCAATTACAGTCATGTCAGAGTACTAGAAATTCCAAAGGGGATGGCTGTTGTAGATATGTTTGCAGTGGTTTAGATAGAGCTGAAACGAAGGAAGTGTTTATAGAAATCTGTGTTCTTGTAGCTGACCCTACTTGGACATCAGTTTCAGTTTGAACTTGCATGAAACTCTATGAATCACGTGCTTAAAGTTATTCAGCATTTCAGTAGCTTGCTGAATCAGCAGGAACATACTTTGAACATGTATGAACCGTTAAAGACTAAGACTGGATCCAGTATATCTATATTGCTATATCTATAGATATTTCTAGTTATATCCATATCTATAAGGATAGATACAGGTATATGTACGCAAGTGTGTATAGATATTTATGTTTGGAAAGTGAGACTTCAAGAAAATTCAAACAACAGACAACTCAACTGAACTGAACTCCTCAAATCTCCTACCCAAGGACTTTCAGAGTTTTGTCATGAAAACATCAGTGTATAAAGTGCTCAAAGTTTCCTTTTATCATGGACTGGAATTCAAAATTTGCTTGCTTCAAAAGAAGGATAAGTGATATTCCCACTCTGGAGCATCTTACAAAGTCTAGTTTATTTTGTATATATTGAATCAGCTTAAGAAGATAACTGCAGAGAAGTGTTGGAAGAAGGGTGGAAAAAATGGTATAGCATTTGTGTTATTTTACATTCCCCTGGGGAATGTGAATTAAATTGTGGGGGTTTTTTGACATGCATAAGATAACTGTAGGAGAATCTGTTGATGTGATGACTCTTCCACGTTCTGCAAAAATATTCCAAGTAATAGGCTGTTTTAGAAAGGTGAATCACCACATTTCGACATCACCAATTTTCAGCATTTTAAGAAGAGATAAATCCTTTGCTTTAAGAAGTTATTTCTTCTGTAGACAGAATTGTCTTACAGTCCTGAAAGAAGTGTATAAACTCTGAAGATGGATAAAAATGTAAGATATACCCTTGTTGGCTGGCAAGGCAGCTTTTTGCTGATTGCATTAAATGCCTCTCCTCATACACTGTCTAGGTTAATGTGGAGACCTAACAGGCAAGAACTATGTCTACTTTCACCTCATCCTGAGATTTTGAGAACTACCTGTCATTTAAAGCATTACCAAGACCCAGCTTTGTGCACCTTCATTGCCCTTGTAAGCAGAGTTTAGGTTGCCTGCAAATGCCATGTATGTTGCTGTGCTTGTAGCAGACTATATACAGATAGATACATAGATATAAAACTTAGATGATACAACACAAAGCATACCTTTGGCTTCAGGCTAGCTAAAAGTCAGCAGCTATTGTAAACTCCTTTGTTGTTTATGGAGCTAAGTAAAAAAGTGTCAAAGACCTGAATGAGTACAGTGGCAAGATACTGCCTAATTTTTTTTCCAAGATGAAATATGTGCATTCTATTACGGCTTTGTTCATAGATAACTTGTGTTAAAAGTACGCAGAAAAAATAAAACACCTTCATCTATTTTGAGGCATATTTAAAACTAAAGATGTCTTTATCTAGTGTCTAAAAATAAGCACGCAGGTTTTTTGTATGTAACTTGCTGAAGTCACAGTGTTTGCCAAGTCTGTACTGTGTGACTTCAGATTTTAATATTATTACTGCTACATCAAGAAAATTTAAAAAATGAAGCAATACTTTCTCGTAGCTGTCAAAACTGTTCCTCTTCCTTTAAATACTATTTCTTTTCTAGTCAGAAAAAAAAAAAAACAACAAAACAACTTATTGAATTTTTACTTGTTTATTGCTGGTTCTGTGACATCTCACAGCAGATAATAGAATTGGTAGCACATTACTTATTTAGCAAATGAGCAAACAGAATTGTTGTTTGTCGATATGCTTGGACATGCAGAAAGCTCAGTTGCTTTACTCAAAAGTGAAAATAGAATTGGTAGTATAGTAATGATACGTTGTTTATCCATGCAAAAGTAATTTATTTTTTCTTCACCAGATTGCTTGGCTTCTACAAAGGAATATTTCCTCCCATCTTGGCTGAGACACCCAAAAGGGCAGTGAAGGTAAAAACTCCATACTTCTGTCTTAAAAACATGATTAGGGACAGTGTTAGTTGTAAAGCATTTTATTCCTCCCCCGCTGATTGACATTAAAATCTTGAACTTATTTGGCATATTAATCCTCTGATTTTTACTGGTGGGAAACTTTCCTGTTGATAACACAATAATAACTGTGTTTGATTATGAAGTGTATAATTATGCTCTTAAATGCTAAGCTGATTTTGACCTCTATATATAATGTTACTGAAAAAAAATACAATTAATTTATACAATCAAAATTAATAAAATACCTCCAATGATATTTTAGCCTCATAATTAACTCTGGTTTAGACATTTTGTTTTACTGAAAATACCTAGCCACTTGCAAAACAACTAAGAATAGCTTAATAAATTAACACAAGAAGCCATTAATGAAGCCACTCCTAATAAGTACTTACTCAGTAACTTGAAGTAGTATACCTACAGATTTGAAGTGCTGCCCAGAGTTTTCTTGTATTCCAAAGAGCACTCTACTTCATACTTTCACTGTTTTACAGATTGAATAAAGTAACTCTTCATCATGCAAAGTACATTTTACTCCGGTTCTCTTACAGCTGAAATAGATGGTAGCCTATCAAAGTGTATTTGCTGTTGAATGTTGATCTTATTTTCTTTTATTGTCCTCTATGTTGACATGTGTAGGATTATTTTAGTAACATTCCTAAGCAAAATATTCAATACATCAATCTCTTCAGTTAAGTGATGCAATCTTTTTAATGAAAAGGTAGCAATTAAGCACCTCATCTTAAAGTTCTAAATCTATCATTGTGTTACAAGAAAATGGTTCTTTGTGTCTTACTTCAGAGCTTTGAAGTTTCCCATAGTTGCACCAATGTATCTAAAAGCAGTTTTTATACAGAATGTCTTGATTTTCCTTTCTCTATTTTTTTTTTTTTTTTAGGTGGGATGGGGTGGGTGGTTTGGGGTTGTTTTTTTTTTGTTGTTTCTTTCTAAAAAAGCTGCATATGATTCTGGTCCTTAGTCTGCAATTAATCATTCACATTCCAGTTCCTTTGCAGAAGAACAATATTTGTATAACGTGACAGCATGTAACCTTGTAACAGAATCCTAAAGGAGTTCTGGTAATGTCATCTTCTTGTTTGCATTGGCATTTTAGATGCAAATGACATATGTCACCTATCTCAAAATTTTTTAATACAACTAAGAAAACTCAGGTTCTATTTCATAACAAAGTGGCAGTGAAGAATAGATAGATGTTATTTAGAAGATTCATAATAACTCCCTTTCTTCGTACCGTGATATTTCCTCTGTCTCTCCATTTCATTTCATTTGAAACAGGTCAAAATCTGATCATGCTTTGTAGGTACCAGCATATATGTAATTAAAATACAAAGCCAGGTTGGATTTCTCTCCCACCAACCTGAGTCATGCAAAAGTCTTGAGTAACTTTCTCTTATTCAAATGGATTAAATTGGTTTAAACCGCATGTTATCCAACATAATACTAGAATCACAGGAAGATTTAAACTGGGAGGGATCTCTGGAGGTCCTCTAATGAGCCTCCTATTCAAACAGCGATAACTTCATGGTTAGATCAAGTTGTTTGGATGTCTTGTTGAGTTCTGAAAATCTTCTAGGATGGAGACTGCAGCCTCTCTATGCTCCTGCTCCAGTTTTTAATTACTTTCACTGTGAAGAATTTTGCCTCAAATTCAATCCAAATCCCCTGTTGCAATTTTTGCCTGTTGCCTCTCATGCTTCTGTTGTGGACCTCTGAGAAAGTCCATCTTTGTCTTCTGGATGGTGGAAGAGAGGAATTATATCCTCTCAGACTTCTTGTCTCCAGGCTAAAGAGACTTGGTTCTTTCAGCTTCTTGTACATCATAAGCTCACAGGTCCTTATATGTCTTGCTGGTGCTCCCTTTGTGGGATCTCTGTGAGGGCTCAGTAGTGTTTCTGCTTCCATGGAAACCAAGTTTAAATGCTAAATGTATTTTTTAATTAAGTCATCGATTTCTTCAGTAGTTTACACTACTTTTAAATTTTACACTGTTCCTAGGAAATCAGGAGGAAAAAAGCTTTAAGTTTCCTTAAGACGTCAACTATGTTCTACATTAGAAGAACTCAGTGACAGAATAGGGCAGCACAGTAATGTCCTTATAAGAACCTTGATACTGAAGCAATTCAGTGTGAGATGCAATATGACAGCACAATTTCTAGACTCCAAAGTGGAGTTTGTACGCATGCTTTGACCTAAGAGAATCCAGCTTGTCTCAAATTTCCTCTTACCTTATTTGTATGTGACTCCAATGGAAAAGTCACTGCTTCTTTTGATTCACTCTCCACTTTCTATTCTTCTAATAGTTTCCCTGATTTTAACAGGTACTAAGATATCCCTTGTGCACTGCCAAAGCCACAAACTGACTTGTGAGATCCAGAGGGCAGTTATGTCCATGCTTGTGGTTTTGAGACTTGAGAAACACAAAAAGTAGAGAGGCAATTTCTAGGTTTCAGCAGCCTTGGGTTGTGTTTGTAAGGACCTTTTTGGAAAACTTCAACTTATAGTGTCTTTTATATCTCATAAAACTGTATACGCTATGGACAAGGGAGATTTTGTACCAGGAAGTGCTTGTAGTACTGGATAGTACATAAATAAAATGTTTTACTTATCTGGTGTGGATATTTGCAAGTAAAAATGAAGCTACTGAAATAAAGTTATTTAGCCCCAGTTATTTAGCTAAGTGTTGAAGATATTTACTTGTAGACAACTATGTTCTCATGTCTGTCTTGCTATTTCTTTTTTTCTTTCTCTTTATTTCCCTCCTAAAAAGAAACCTGGTATTTCTGGAAGATGAAAAGTCAAGGTTTATAACTTTATGTTAGATTGAACTTGGAGGAAGGAAGCGATGATGCCAATACAATGGTTAACAGATGAACTTTTGGGGCAAATTTATATTGCTCATGTGTTCCCAGACATCTTGTTTCAAGCATATATTTTTACCTTAGAATTATTGAGACATCTGGTAAGTACTTTGGCTATTTTTTTATGCAACTTGAATTAAAGTGTATCTTTGCCAGATGGACAATATTGTTTATTATATACACAAAAGCATGCTTTAAATACATTTATTCTGCGATATTTTTTTTTGTGCAAATCTATTAATACAACTGTAAAGACAAAGACAAGGTATGTTGTGGTTTTAAAAACATTTTATTTAAACATGATACAAATCCATATGATATAGCTAGATACTTTTTGGCAAAATTGTATGTATACTAACCATGCTAGTATACCCATCAACATTTAAATTGAGTTTTATTGCTATTATTTCTTTTCTTTTAAAAATGATGTAAATCATAGTTACTATTAAGTAGCTATTTTATTTATGACTCTAGGAAGCTATTGATTTTTAAAGTAACATTTTTAAGACCAAAAAATTGTCCTTATTACAACCATTTTACAGATCTGTAACATTATGGAAAACATTAAGGAATACCAGAAATTCCATTAAAGGTTAGGAGGGTAACAATGGGTAGAAGGATGCTGGAGAGAATAAAGCAAACTTTGTCACAATAAGAAATTAATTTAGTTCAGTGAAGTAACTCACACACTCACAATTGACACTTTCCCAGAGACTTCCTTTTACCTATAAAATATCTTCAGTTTTCCAAAAAGATAAACCTACAGTCTAAGTAACACTTTTTTTTAATTATTAGCAAAGCCAGTACAATACTTTTAAATGTGTTTGCAGGGTGTTTGCAAGACTAGTCTTCAATCTGTACACTATTTGGAGGGCCCTGATTTTAGGACCTTTTCTGCAAAATGAGATAAAATCCCTACTGAGGATAAAAATGTATCTACCCCCTGGCCAGAGTATAAGTCCTTCAGTTTTACAATTTAATAAGTATTCATATTCCTTCCTGCTTTAAATCTGGTGGCATTATTAATATGTTAACACTTGTTTCTCTGATGGTTTTGGTGCCATTATACTGACTTTTCATTTGAAGCCACTCTTGATTGAAAACTGTTATTGGCTTTACAATAGAATAGGATTCTAAACAAGTTAAAATGACAATGTGGTGCTTATTACTCATGTTCCTCTACACACGGTTTATGGACAAGCTGTTTTGTTCTGATAGGTCTGTGGTAACTAAGCCCTGAGGGACAGAGCTTGTCTTCTTTGGCTGAAACCCAGCACAGGTCACCCAGTCTTTCTGTTTTGCCTGAAAAATTCTGTTCCCTTATGTTTCTTACAATTCCCACATCTCCACTGACCTCATTTCCCATTGCCTTCCTGTCATGGTGAAACTGATTGTCACATGCATGGGCAGGTGCTGTGTGGAGGGATCAGAGCCTCATGTGTGGGAGCAGAATTCAGAGGATCCTGCCTTCATTTAAATCAGATTGCTCTAAACTAATCAAGTGTTACAGGTCAACTTTGGAAAGTAGCCAAGAAAATGTTCTAGTGATTTTGCTATACAGAGGTGTGACAGTTCTTGCTCTAGCAGATAACCAACTGCACGAATGCAGTCTTGGTGAAACTGTGACAAGGTTTTGTTGTTCAGTCCTGTAATACTGGACATCCTTTGAAAACACCACTTCCCTTTTGCATTTAAAATTGTGAATACTTCTTGGACAGATTATAGGACTCACAGTGAGCTGTAGTTACGGGCCTTGTGTTGTTCCATGTGTGAAAATTATGTGGGACAAACAGCATCTCCAGTATCTTTGGTTTTCTCTGTAATTCAGATATTGGTTCTTTATAATCCACAAGATTTTCTGCTGTCCTCATTCATCATGCTAGATAATCATTTTCACTCCCTTCAGAACAGTCTTATGTGGCATCAACCTGAAGTGGTCTTTCAGTGGCTTCAGCAACATATTTTCAGAACACTAATTTGAAACAATATGAGGTTTGGGGAGATTTGTTGTTCACAGAAGCACTGAGACTAAAAAGGGTCTCTTAGGCCAGCAAACCTAGTTGTCTGCTATTCTGTAATCTCCTTCATAAATTTACCAGACTCTCCCTTACAAGTGCTTAAATTTTTTCCTTCATTATTCTTATTGGAAGACTGTTTCAAGACCCCACACCTTTGGTTGTAAGAAAGCATCAAATCTCAAGCCACATTCTATTTATTAGTAGCTGTTACTTTTATACCCAATTACTTTATGTTACATATCTTACTTTTTTCTCATTCTCTTGCAGCCTCTGTTTTGCTAGACTAAACAAGGAAAACATTTATTTTCCTTCAGTCTTCATTCTTAAAAAAAATATCTTTAAGTTCTCCTTATTGCCCTGAAAACCCTGGTTTGAATATGCTGTAGTCTAAGGTCATCTTTTTAGAACAAAGGTGGCCAGGATTATGTGCTGTATTTCAGAGGGAATCTTACCAATAATTTGTACATTGTCACAAATACTCTTTCTTGACTGATGTATCTTAGACCTTAACCGATGCATGTTAGGCCTTGTCTGTCCAGAGACAAAGAAATACACAGTGAAGGTCTGTCTGCCTGCGTCATTAGGAAGCTTCTTACTGGTCTCACTGCAGTCAGGGTTATTCTCAGTACTCTTCTTGGATGAACAAATCCATTAATTTAAAAAGCTTTGCTTTTTAGATTTCACAAAAGGTATTCTGAAAATTAATGGGTTTGGTTGGCAAGAAATGTTAGGTTGTGAACTAAGACATTTACAAATGGTTACCTTTCTCTCTGTCAGTGCAGATGAAACCGAGCTTCTCATTTCTTTCTTGGAATTCAAACACCCAAGAGTACAGCTTTCAAAACTCATCCTCTAAGGATCTGCAGATACTCAGAACTTCTGAGCACCACTGACTGAAAGCAGACAATGGGATGACAGATCTATTTGTAAAGAGCAAAAACTAAAAGAAATGTGCTTGTGGACAGTAAAATATTACAAAAATCTATAGACTTTCTGTCTTCAAAATCACAGTATCACAGTATGTTAGAGATTGGAAGGGACCTCAAAAGATCATCTAGTCCAATCCCCCTGCCGGAGCAGGAACACCTAGATAAGGTTACACAGGAACGTGTCCAGGTGGGCTTTGAATGTCTCCAAAGAAGGAGATTCCACAACCTCCCTGGGCAGCCTGTTCCAGTGTTCCATCACCCTCACTGAGAAGAAGTTTCTTCTCAGGTTTAAGTGGAACCTCTTGTGTTCCAATTTATACCCATTTCCCCTTGTCCTTTCATTGTTTGCCACTGAGAAGAGCCTGGCTCCATCCTCGTGACACTCCCCCTTTATATATTTGTATACACTAATAAGGTCACCCCTCAATCTCCTCTTCTCCAAACTATAGAGACCCAGCTCCCTCAGCCTCTCCTCATAAGGGAGATGCTCCACTCCCTTAATCATCTTAGTTGCCCTGCGCTGGACTCTCTCCAGCAGGTCCCTGTCCTTCTTAAACTGAGGGGCCCAGAACTGGACACAATATTCCAGATGAGGTCTCACCAGGGCTGAGTAGAGGGGAAGGAGAACCTCTCTCGACCTACTAACCACCCCCCTTCTAATACACCCCAGGATGCCATTGGCCTTCTTGGCCACAAGGGCACAGTGTCGGCTCATGGTCATCCTGTCGTCCACTAGGACCCCCAGGTCCCTCTCCCCTACACTGCTCTCTAACAGGTCGTTCCCCAATCTATACTGGAACCTGGGGTTGTTCCTGCCCAGATGCAGGACTCTACACTTTCCCTTGTTATATTTCATCAAGTTATTCCCCGCCCAACCCTCCAGCCTGTCCAGGTCTCTCTGGATGGCAGCACAGCCTTCTGGCGTGTCAGCCACCCCTCCCAGCTTAGTGTCATCAGCAAACTTGCTGATAGTACACTCAATTCCCTCATCTAAATCGTTGATGAATATATTAAATAATACTGGTCCCAGTACCGACCCTTGAGGCACTCCACTAGATACAGGCCTCCAACTAGATCTTCAATTACATCTTTCAGATGAGAAGTAGACTAGTATCTGAGAAACGTGAAAGTGATTGCAGTATATTAAATATGTGAGGATGATTTCTTGAGAGAAATTACATTTGCTACTACATTTAAACCACTATGTGAAAGTTTAATGCTAGAGGAAAGTTTATAATTTAAAAATGTGAACTGTGTTTTGTAAGAGAACTCTTACAGAAAAAAATACTTTAATTGCACTTATGCTATCATGCACGATACACTAATAAAATCAGTTCTGAAGCCTGATTGTCTGATGAAGCACATCTAACACTGCTACAGAGAGTGTGAAACAAAAGTGGCTTATGTTTATTTTGCAGAACTGCACATGGCTATTCAGGATACAAGGTATCCTGAAGCTATTCATTGTAGTTTGGTTTTGCTAATTTGCATAAGTAACTCATAATTTTTGTCAATGTAATTTCAGTCTAACTTTTATTTACAGTTTTTCACCTTTGAACAATACAAGAAGGTACTAGGATATGCATCATTACCGCCAGGACTGGTATGTATTTATACAGAACGTTATGTTCTAATTTAATATGGGTATACTGAACGGTGCCATCCATTTTCTCTCATAGAAGGAGGCCAAAATTAAAAGGGCCAGTTCAATCAACAGCCTTCCAGAACAGACTTTCCTTTTGAAAACACTGATAACAGAATTTATCAAAATGATAGTTACATTAATTTTTATATCAAATGCCTTCAAAGTAATTCCCTACAATGTCATAACATTTGATAATATGGATAGAGACAGTCACCATGGAAGAGTGTCTGTGCAGCTTGCCGTTCTTCATTCTTGCAAAGTAGATAATAAAGTTGAATGTTATCAGTATTTATTTATTTATTCATATGATAATGACTAGTTTGATACTTCAGCCTCAGTGTGCTACTCTGCAAGGCACAGTGCAACTATAACAAAACTACAGACCTCAGTCTTATTCTAAAGACTTTATAATAAAAAACATAAACTATGTATAAGAAGCTGCTACCTCCTTTGAAGTGAATGACAAAATACTCTTATAGATCAGTGGAGTTTGGATTTCATCTCAAGAGCATAAAAAAAAAAAGTCTTAAATATACACAAAAATGTTTTAATGCTAAGATGCAGTTTGCATATGCTGTATGCATTCTTACAGAGAGAGCTTAATTCTGCTATTTTACCATTTTGAATAAAATATTTTTTATAAGAATTACTGCTTTCTGTAATGTAAGAATCTAAGTAATAGTAAATATCTATTTTTCATGAAAATGGAATCATAACTGTAGGAAATGGTATTTTTATGGTTACGCTCTAAAGGTCTTGCTTATTTCAGATATCTTTCACACAGTATTGTTTCCATTTATATCTGCTTTCCATTGCAGTGAGTGAATGGTCATGGAATCATATTAACCACTTTAAAGCAAGTTTCCTCTTCCTCTTGGTTATTCCACTGGCCCTTAGTTGTTTACAGTATCTCCTGTTTTATCTTGTATTTTTCAGCAGGCATCCTTAGATTTAAGTAGAAAGGCTGACATTTGTTCTCCAGCAAGTGGAAATAACAGAGTTTAAGATTCCATGGTTCACCAGCACTTTTTTTCAAGGAGAATATTGTGGAAACATGACCAAAAGCTGCTGTGATTCATACAGCAGATACAGAAACCCTCAGACACCCCTGACATTTTAGATGCAGAACTGTTACTGCAAAGGCATTTTTGCCCCTAAGATAGGTGTAATAGACAGGGAAGAAGAAGATTGAGAAGTATTCTAATCTAAGCTAGACAGAATGCTTCTAGGTACCTCAACACACCTCATATCAAGACCACATTTATTGTTAAAAGAGAGATGGATATGTTCGCACCATCTTCCTGCTGGTTTCAGTCTCATGGTCAGTGATGAAAGGAATAGATTATGTTCCTACCTCATACTGGAAAAATAGATTTGTTAGTAATACCATCTTCTCCAAAGGCAGTAAGGCTGGAGCTTGCTGCTACCCTTCTAACTCTTCTAACCATTCTTCTCTTTCCTGAGCTCTCAAGAGTCCCTGCTCAAATCCCTCTGTATTGAATAAGGTTTTTCACACTATTGTTGTTTCCTTACCTTTGGTTTACTTGATTCTCAGCAGATGTACTCAGTATATTGTATTTTGGTCCTGGGACTCTGGGAAAGTTAGGAGGTATTAAAGGAAATTAAAATTAACCCCTCTGAATATTTGACCTAAATATTTCCGTATTATTTTTCTGTTACAAAGAAAGTTATTTTTAAATGCTGTGTTTTGATGGAAAGCAAAGCAGTGAATAACTACATATCTAGGACTGTAATGTACCATCAGCTTCTAAATGGATTTAATTCGTCCTTGTAGTGAATGCTGAGATTTCCATGTGTGCCACTCATCTCCATGTAAACCTTCCTAGGACTGATATTTACTTAGGAGAACTCTTCCTCTGTGTGTGCAATTTGCTTATGTACTGTGCTATTTTGATTTTTTACATTTATTTTCTTTTTCAAGTTACTATGTTAGTGTTATATGCTCAATTCTCAGTGCAGAGTTGTTTTTTTTTCGAGTGCTGCATAACTGCATTCATATTTGTGTTTTTATTCAGACTCCACCCAAAGATAACATGAGAGCATTGTTTTGCCATGTTTTCATAATAAATTGGTACCATAGTTTTTCTTCAAGCTGAAAAGAGAGTTCAGTGACAGTGCTATGACATTTTATTTTGTACTTTTGGGAACGTGGTTTATGGCTATTGTCATATTGTCTTCATGAACTGTCAGCATCTAATCAAGGGCTAAAGTTGTTTAGTAATAGAATACTGCTGTATTCATGCAGTGTCACAGTTCGCATTGTATCATTCAGTTTCATAAGCTGATGTATGGGAAATTTTACTCCATAATTTTTTAATTTTAACTTTCCTAGGCATTTGCAGTTGCTGGCTTGGGATCTGGGTTGACAGAGGCAGTTGTGGTTAACCCTTTTGAAGTAGTAAAAGTTACCTTACAGACAAATCGGAATGCCTTCATAGAGGTATGAGAATTGCTCCATTCTTCTTTTTCTGCTTTATTAGGCATAGTGGACTACAAAATTCCTATTTAGAGCATAATGTCTATAATATATTGGGTTAATGCAAATGATTTTCCCACATGCTTAACAGAAATGGAAAAAGAGGGAAGAGACTCAATAGACAGGTATGCATGAGATCTCAGGTATGCAGAGATGCATGGTGTATTGTCAGCACTGTGAGCATCTCCATTGTAAATATGCTGTGCATGAAGTGAACCTTCAGCCTCCAGAGTACCCAGCAGCCCAGCACTGTGAGAAATTCTAATCCAGAAGTAAAAACCTGAGTCCCTTGTACACAGTGCATTTACCACAGGAGGCTCCAGGCTTCAAGTGAGCACCAAAGCTTAGCGTAAAACACCACAGCCCCATGCCCTAGCCAGGCATTTTAACATTTCTATTAAAAATGTAGCTGATAGATTTCAGTCTTGGATAAAATTATTATAAGTCTTCATATTTATAAGTTCAAACAAGGAAATTGTTATATAATAAAGCACACCAATAATTTAAATTCCTGATTCACTTCAGGGTTTTATTATTCAAATATTATTTCGTTCAGAGAAGTCAATGTGCAAAATTTACTTCATCCACAGTTCTGGATAGTGCTGAAAGGGAAAAAAATATTAAACTGGAAAACAGTGATTGATCAAAATCAAGTGTTCCCAGGAATACATCAGCTTCAATTAATTTTATTGTAGAAAATGTTCCAGGCTATTGGGAAGGAGGGCAGTCACAGTTCCTTTTTCCTTTTCTCAGTGAGTAAGACTAACAATTGTCCAACCAGCTCTTTCAAGATCTTTTGAGAAATCAGCTCTACCATAGTAGAAGTGCGAAATCACATAAGCATGGCATGAAAAGCTTGGCTGAATCCCTGGTGAGGCATGATTTTGCTTACTCTCCTACTAAGTTTTGACTGAGTTAATACTTGCATGCCTTGTAGCACTCGTCTGCACAAATTGAATGGGGAGATGGACAGTAAAGAGATTTATCACCTGGCCATTTACATAAGCTATTTGGGCCAAGCTTTTCAGATATGCTCTGGCAAAACTTTGCCACCGATTTCCAAATGTCATAGACTAGGTGGTACCTACTCTGTAACTCACTAGATAAGCATTCTCTACAAGAATAAACCTTAAAACATTTGGGAAATTCCTGTTTGATTCTCAGTGTAGCAAAATTGATCTTTGGGTGCTCCAGGTCTCCAGCCTAAATATTTTTTAACGATGGGCTGCAAATTCACTGAAACAGAGAGCTAATATAGTACTGCAGTAAAAAGTTTGGGATCCTGGAAGAAGACTGAAAGTGGGAGAGAGCAATGTGTGAGGGGATCTTTCTGTGAGGAAGATGGTATGAAAGAATTATGGACTACTACTGCTCCAGCAGTAGTAAACTAAGCAGATATTCTGGATTTTTCTGTCTCATAGTTGTGAGCATAAATTTAACCTATCTTAAAACCTTCTGTTTTGCGTGAAATACTCCAGGATTGTATTTTCGGCAGCTCAGCTTCTGTAAAGTTGAAAGAGACCAATATATCCTTTCACTTTACATATTTTTTTATCTCTATTGCAAATTTTAGAACAAAGTCTGGGGTGTTTTAGTTAATAAATTTTACGCAGCTACTTACTTTAGTTACAGTTTCTCTTCCTCGGTGACCTTCAGAATATTCCAGTAATCACAGTGTAGCTGTTCAGAAGCATTCAGGTTTGTTTTGGTTTAGGTGACTATTCTTTAAATTTCATTTAAATGCAAATTTTCACAAAATTAAAATAATACTATATTATCATACAAATAAAATTGTAAAGTAGCGCTACTGGGACTTCATTAGAACCTAGTTTACACCTAAAGTATAAATTAAAGTGTCTATTTGCACTAATGGAAAAATCCAAGGGGCTAGAGTTCTTAAATCACAAAGACAGTTAATCACAGACATACCAATTTTTCATACATCTGTAAAAAAGTGTTAGCATTCCACATTTTGCTGATAATCAGGAAAATTACAGTGACTTCATTACCATGATTTCAAGTACTTATGTTATGTTAAAGAACATTTCACACTAAAGCATACAAAGCTCAAGCCTGTTGGAAGAAGCATGTGTATGCTGTATTATGCAGCGTAAGGCAATGGTGCACTCATTCAATTACCATGCACTGTTTTTCTAAATGCTTTAAGTAAAGTATGTACCTATCCCATTGTGTAGCTTTCGTACTGTATGATGAAACCTAATGCAGTTCACATATTTCTTTGACTATTGTGTTGAAATAATAAATATATCTTGTTTAAAAGGAACAAGGAAGAGCTTGAACACACACTCCCACACCCAGACTCCTGCACACCCCCAAAGCAAATACTCACACACCACAGTGACAGCTGAATTATTCTGTGGTACCAGATCATCTTTCAAGGGCTGGTAGATTTAAAGAGGAAGGCCACTTTAAAATATGTATTGTCACTTTTGTAATGTTGATGGCTACAGGTAAAAAGTAATGGTGACTTCTTGTTAAGGTAAACTGCTAAAAGGCCCAATGCCTTGTTTGGTTTTGGGAGTTTTGGGGGTTTTCCTGTAGCCATGGATAACTCACTGGCTACAGAAGTGGGTGTGGTAATGGAAATCTTCTCACCTGACTTGAGTTGTGTTTAACTGAACAAATACAAGTTTCTGCTTTACTATGAGAAGATTCTGACTTCAGATTCCTCTGACTAGGTCTCTATTAAAGTATAAGTGAACAGTTCTATGAAGTGAATTAACTCCAGATGTTTGTGCAAGAAATTCCTCCATCTGAATTAGTCACACTGAGGTCTTTCCATCATCAGTGATGAAACACAGAGCTTATGTGGCTTGATCAGCTGACATTTTAGATGCCTGTTTAGGCTGAAGTGCTATCTGTTAGAGCCCTCTTTATCACTGAAAGACTAAAAACTTGAGTCTTTTGAGTCTCAGATGTAGATATTGCAGGAATCTACATTTGGACTGGTGAAACCCATCCCAGGTGTTCAGCAAATAACAAGCTTCTCCTTTGAGTCATTTGTAAATCCGTATTCAAGATGAGAACAAGGGAGAGCTTGCTATTGAAAGTTGCTGTGTTAAGCTCTAAATCACTTTATTCAGAACCATTACACGTTTTTTAAGGATCTAACCTGAATTTTTTGTGCATGTGAAAGGATATTATTGCTAGTATTGGACCGTATTCCATGTTGGGTATTTACATTTTAGAATAGACTCCAGCTTGAATCCCTGAGGGGAGATACAAAAGTAAAATATAGTAAAATGTATGCAGAACATTCACATGATAATATTAGTTACCAAATATGAAAAAACAGAATGAAACTTAGTATTAAAGACTAAACTGCTCAGTCACCTAAATAAGCAGACATATGCTGTGTCAGATATAATAGGCATCATTTGGCTCATGCTGTTGATTTACTAGAGTGATGTTTTGAAATGGAAAGCTATTAAACAAATAAGTGTATTTAAATTAGCAGTGTTCCCAGCATTGTAGTCAAAATTCTTCTATATTTTCATGTAAGGGCCTTCTAGAGGAAGCCATGTTTTGCCTTTCTAATTAAATATTTGGTTACCCAAAGATGGCTTTATGCTTTGGAGAAAGCCAAACTGAAGTCAACAACTTTTTGAAAGGAACTTTTCTATAATTCTTCTAAAAAGAAATAAAAAATGTTCAGAAAGGGAGCACCTCATTGCAAGCATCACAGTATACTGGAAAGTAGATCAAACGTGTAAGTAGTCAGGCAGGTCACTATATAGGTGGATTCTGAGGACGTTTCTTCCTTTATGCCTGTTGTTAAATGGAACTTGGTTGACTAAAATGATTTCTGTGCCTTTTGGGTGTTATTTTCAAAACAGAATTTCTAAAGTTAATTTACTAATATCTGTATCTTGAAATATAAATGGATGTTCTGATTTTCAAAATCTAACTACCTTTTTTAAGCCAAGTAATTCATTAGGAGCGCAAAAGAGGATTTCCAGTTTGATGCTGAAGAAAAAAAATAAAAAGGAAAACAACACCACTTCAAGATTTTCAACACTAGAAGAAGGAAGTTCAGTGTGTGATCTGGCTTTAAAAAGTACTCTCTGCCAAATAACTCCTTCAAAAGTCAGTGTCTTAAAGCAGTGGCTTGCATTCCTAACAGCATGAAGAGCATCAGAATATCCAAAAGGGTTCCCAGGCAATGTATATGCCTTTTTATCATTGTTTCAACCCTATTCCTAATACTGAATCTGGAAACTGCCTGTTATTCATTGCAAATATTTATAGACTCCTTTGCTGCTCTAATTTGTGGGTCCCAATGATTTGTTTCCATAGCCGTAATGGCTCAAAACTTCTAATTCTATCCCTTTTATCACTCCCTCACCATGTATATCCTGTGCCATTGGTTTTACTAAAGGAGTTGGTTTTGTCTTCCTATTGTCCTGAATAACTTGTTTCTAGTTGTGTAAGGGTTTTACCTGTCATAATCTTGATAGCACAGGATCAATGATTAAAAAAAAAAAATAATACCAAATTCATATATTCAAAGCCACATGTTGTTCTAGATTTTTTTTTAATTATTGAGAAATTATTCTTTGCTTCAGGGATCCTTTGCTTTAGTACTCAAGTCATGTTTTCATCTTGTTCTGCAATCAGAAAAATGAGGAATTTCTTTTTAATGAAAGTTGTGGTTTTTACATGGTCACAGGAAAGGAAAAACAACAAATATGATAAAACAAGAAAAAATGACAGCAACAGTATTTGTCAACAGGATGGAATGATACTATGGTCATTGTTCTCTTTTTGTAAAGATGATCTCTTCCTTCTTTTGCTTAACTTGTGTAGCAACCATCTAGCTTTGTTCAAGCTCGGCAGATCATTAAAACCAGTGGTCTGGGCTTCCAAGGACTAAACAAAGGTCTTACTGCAACACTGGGCCGTCATGGAGTTTTTAACATGGTTTACTTTGGATTCTACTTCAATGTGAAAAACATTCTTCCTGTCAGTAAAGTAAGTTCTTCATACAATGCAATAGATAAACATGTAAGAGGTCTTGCAATTTAATTAACAGTGTATTTTTCTGTGCAAACCTGTGGTATTTAGTAACAAACAGTGACTAATCCAGCTCTCTGTTTTGTAGGAATTTATAGCATTTTAATGGAAGCAAACCAAGGATTTGTACTTTTCACTTTTGGTATAAACAGTCATATTTGAATTCTCTTTTTTATGAGTTTCCTTTTATACCATGGTAGCAATGTAACAATGAAGAAATTGGGATACAGGTATGTTATGCTTGTGTTAGGTATGTATATACTTTTTTGTGGTAAACTGGCTTAGAAGAGAAAAATCAGTTTCTAGAACTTCTATCAGTAAACACAAAGGGGCTAAGCTTGAGGAGATGGCAGATCTGCAGTACATAGTGTATTCTGGCAATGGACCAGGCCTATTTACTCAAAAAAGAGTTCAACCTGGTGCTGAAGGATGACAGGGCAGATTTATCCATATGGGAGGGAGCCAGCCCAAAACAGGATTTACAGGGTCATGCACAGGGGCTTTATGTAGTTTATTAGTTAAAAAAAAAAAAAAAGAAAGAAATTTTATAGTTTAACTTCACTTGAAGCAATTTTATTTGATAGTCTTATATACCTTTACATAACAGAGAAAACGTTTCCCTTTTCAACAAAGGGAAATTTTACTAATGAAAATGGGGTAATGCTGGCAACTTTCTAAATTACGTGTGAGCAACAGCTAATGGTTTATTAATGACTTCAGGACATTACTTACTGAACTGTGTTTTCACTAATGTGATTTTTAGATGATGACAGTTAAGCAGTCACAGGTGTAATGTGTAGTGATATTCATATAAGAAGCTGCAATTTACATCAAAAGGGATCAGTTTCTACTCCCAGATGAAGTAACACCTCTTTTTTTTTCTCACTTCTGAGTAGCCTCGTATTTTTCTTGGCATCATTGTGTAAATGGAGAAAAGCTCCACTTTTTATTTGCAGACTATTATAGTAAATTGAATTGTTCAAAAGCAGCTAACCACAAGTTTCTACAAGTTTCTTTTAGTGTACTTAAGCATACTTTAGAATGTACTTTAATCACACATTCTAAAAACTCAAGCCACAAGCAACAGCTTGGTACTAAGGCGTAAACACGTTTATGTTGATCAAAAGACAAAAAAATTGTAATCACTATGCAGATTATTCAGAATCATATGCAGGGACAAAGAGGCTTGTGTGCAACTTCTGTGAAAATCATGAGTGTTCTTGAGTAGCAATTGAAGAATAGTAATAGTATTTTAATAATATTTGGCATAAGCATGCTTCCCTAGCCTTTCAGATTAGGAAAAAAAAAAAACAAACCAAAAACAATTATTGCAAGTATTTAGAATTATTGCAAGATTCTTTATGATCTAAGAATTAGCACTTTTGTACAGTACATCTAGAAAACAAAAGAGAAATTACGTTAGTGGTGTCAGCCAGTCGCTTAGCTGTCCTGTACATACCATAAAAAGTAAAAGACAATTTAGTCAGTGTAGGGTTAGATTGCATTAACTGCAAATAAGTGAAGAGGTCGGCCTTGTGTTCAACCAGTGCAAAGTGGCTAGCTTGGTGGCTTCCACAGCGGCTACATCTGCGCTAGTAAATTGAGCAGTGTCACTGAAACTAATCATCTGTGCTGTTAAATATTCCCTGGCACAGCTTTGGCCCAGACTAGCCAACACTGGGTGTGGCTTAGAAGCTAGTGCAGACAAGGAACCATTCCTAATAGGAAGTCTGTTTTGAAAAGTAATAGCATTTAATAGCACTAATAAAGTTAATAAGCCTCTCTAGGCCAGCTGGCATCAGTGCCATGGACAGTTCTGTACATATAGACACAGCCAGTAATTCTGATAAAATGTCCATTATAAGCAATGCAAATCTTACCCTGAATTTAGCAGGGTATATATCAAGATTCATCTGGCTTGATAGCCAACGTTATGTCTCAGGTAATTAACTGCACCAAACTTCAGTGACTGGAAAATGGAAATCTTCAGCAATACTTGTCGTGAACAGATCACAGTCTGCAACTTAAACTTCTGTCAGTAGGCAGGTACTAGAGGCTAAGAGTTATCAAAACTGTATCAGGAATTTCACCAAAGCTGTTTTGTAGTTAGTCTGGAAAACATTATACAGTTGTAACTTTTCAAGATTTCTCACATACTTGATTTCATTACAAAACCTAATTTGTTCATTTTTTATATTTTGCCAGAAAAGAAAATCATAGTCAGTCTTGCAATATTGACAAACATATAAAAATTGCGAAATAACAGTATTACTCTTTTGAAATCATTTTGGCTCTTGAGTATGTATCTGCTGTTTGGCATATGTAACGTAAGTGGAAAAATGTATGGAAATGTCCATATGAGCCTTTTAGCTGTCAACAGTGTTAAACTGTGCATTAAATTTGCATCCCAATTAGGGATGTTTACAGCTTATTTTGCCAAAAACAATAAACCTGTTATGTTGAGTGGTCAAATGATATAAATGACATGTGTGGGTTGTAAATGTTCATAATGAATAATTTTTCGTTTGTTCATTCTATTCTACTGAACAGATCATTTAAGCCAACCTCATGCTCTGTTTACTGAAAACAGAATAAACCAAACTTGTTTCAATTGCCACTAATGTATCAACCATAGAGCATTGACAACTATGCTTCTGCACTAGCAATCAAATTAGTCTGCAAGTTTATGTTGTCTCAGTTTTATAGCACCTACTTTTACAGCACATTTCATAGGCGTCCAGCAGCTCTCGCTTTTTAATTTTTTATCGTATTTAGGTTGATGGCAAACTTTCATTTCATTAAAACCTTTACTCACTACCACCTCCAAGTGGCTGTTATTTTTCTTAGCAATATGGAATTTTCTCATTGTTAAAAACCCCCTTGGAAACTTGGCCATCTGCAAAACTCATTTCAAGTCAAGCACTGCCTGCTCTAGCTGTCACAGATGTGCCTTCTGTTAAAACGACAGCGGGAGCTTAGCTGTATGTTGTTTTGTCAGAGAAAAGGCTTCAAACTTCTACAGGCAAAGAGACTGGAAACCAAAACTAGCTGTTCAGTTTGACAAATAAATAAGATAGCAGACAACAATTTTACTTTACTTGCTTTCATATCTATGCCAACATTCAAGTTATATGTAGGAAGAAACAGTAAAATGGTCATGTGGTGCAACAGAGTTGGAAAAATAGTAAACTAAGGTGATTTAGAAGACTGTATCACAGCGGGAAATGAAATCAACTCAGAGCTGCCATCCCAGCTCAGGCATAGGATGACCTGGGAACTGGGAAAAAAAAAAATAAAATAAAAGAGAAAAACCAGGGCAGTGCTGTATTCAGCTGTATCCAGTGTGTTGCAAGTCATCCATTGATCAGTACTTTTCAATGTGAGGTGTCCTGTGGCTGTTTTAATGAGAGCCTGTGTTGTTTAAAGACTCCAGCCCAGGCCATCATCACCAAAAGATGTTGTATCAAAGGGGGAGAGTCTGTTCTACCTCACCTGCTCCTGTACTGCAGTGTTCTTGTAGTCAAGACAGATAGGAAGTTCAAGGAGAGGAATCTCTGGTTAAAATAGAAAGGTGAAGAAGCAGCACAAATTTCTCCTGTTTTCCTATGGAAATAAAGATGATGCTGAAATGGATGCCCAGGTTCAACCATACCTGACAGAGAGACAGGCTTAAAATAGCTAAGTTCTTGTGAGAGATACAAATAATATAAAAAGAGGAGATCCTCCAGGTGCATCTTAACAGTGTCACAACTGGGGTAAATTTTCTGTGGGAACTTATGCCTTATTAAACACTCTATTTTAGGGGGGAAAAGCCCATGTAAGCCCATGTATGTCTGGGCTTGCAGACATCGAGTATCAGTCACAAGGGCTGATAAGGACATCAGACTTCTTTAGTTCTGGTATTCACAGGGGTCCTCTTTTTTCTTTTTTTTCCTATATCAGGCTCCATATAGTGCAGACAAAGGTGCTGGATGCAGCAGTACATGCATTTCTGGGTGCCTTTTTCTGCATAGCTAGTGTCTAAATGATGCCATGAAATGCTGACTTGCTTATAATCCCAGAACTTCATGAACAGTCTGATCATCCACATAGGCTGGCTTAGAATTGCAGCAGAAACCTCATGTGAAGCTGGAAGATTGATTCTGCTTTACCAGTGTGGTTAATGGTTTTCCAGGTGGCCAGTCCCCAGCAGCCACAAGAACATGCACAGAACAGTGAATGACAACACCAGGTACCCTCTCTTGGGTAAACCTGGGAGTCATTGATATAGATGACTATGGGACTAACAGGGAAGACAGACAAGAAATTTACCAGCATCTAAAGGAATTGGGCAGGAGTTTATTTTGCCTCTTCAATGTTTGCTTTCAACAGTCTAACGATAATATACAAAAATGGTGAAGAATAAAAGGAACAAATACAGATCTATCTGGTGCTTCTCTTACTGACTATACTGCCTATACTGAGTGAGTCTCCAGAATTCTGTATACTTTCTGTTGGGTGACCAGAAAATTTTGTTGCCTCTTGTTTTTTTTATTTACATTGGAAGTTCTTCAGTGCAGATACTCGTTTTAAGACAAAGTGAAGCCCAAGCCCTACCCTGTCAGTCCAAAAGGTTATAGCAAAAGAGTAAATAATAGATAATAATGCTACTTATAAATCTGGCATAAGACTAATAATTTTATCAGGAAATTGTATATGAGAAAAACAAATCACAGAGTATAGCAGACTGTTTGAAATTATATACCCTATACAGCAGACAGCCATGTCACTCTGGAGATTAGCCAGGACATTTATCCTGATGGCTGTCGTTCATCTTCTTATGCTGTCAGATATCTGACAGGTGGATTTTAAAAACTTAAATAAATGTCTGCTGCAACGACACTGCAATCAAGGAGGATTCTGAGATGATACCAGTGTGAAAAAAGTATATGTATTTCAAACAAAGTGCAACTGTGAGT